AGGAAGGGGGGGGGGGGGGGGGGGGAATGAGTGAATGGAAGGACTTTGTGTTTTGATGCATGTGTGCTTCGTTCATGCATTTGAGTTTGGGCTCTTTATATGAATGTATGTGAAGTGCTATTTTAATGTCATTCACAACAGCCAGTGTGTTACTTAAGTATGTGTTGGTCTTTCAGTTGCACTGTGCCTTGCTAACAGGTGGCCCAGGTTTGTTGAGCTTGGTTTAGGATTAGACTTTAAGACATTGTTTGGTGGGAATGGTGCTGTGAATACAAAGGGATTAGTGCAAAGGTTTGCTTCACTGACTGTGAGTTTGTATGTGTTGGTGGAGGGATTAGGAACGTTAAGTTGATGAATGGATTGGATAGTCCACCAATATAAAACATTTGCTGAGATTAAGCAAAGGAAATCAACTAGTAGATAAAATTAATAAAAAATTAAAGTGTGTGTAAAATAACATGGTAGTTGTAGGCAGCAAAAGAAATTCACTTACACCGTGCCTTTATATTCAGAAAGCATTTCAACAAATAAACTAACAATGTAAAACACTGAATTTGGAAATTTCATAAAAAGAGAATACCACACGTTTCCCCACGTTCTTCTCTTAATGCACTGGACAGGAAAAAGCCCTACTAAAATCATCTCAGTGCCTCGAACCATGTGCCACCATTAAGGACACACAAGGAGAGATCTGAAAAATGACTGTTTTAATGTCCCTCTTTGACTTTAATGAATTTATACGTTATCTGCCCCTAATGGAGGCTGCGGTGGAGGGGCTGGCGCAAGGCCATAACAAATGAAAAGCCCTGATTAGTGTAGAATGAGCTGAGAAAAAAATGCCATTCATCTTGGTTAGCATCCTCCTGTGCTCTTTTATGGGTCGCTGTTACAAGGGCGGTGGAGCCGGGGGTGCTTGTCCCATTAGCGGGGCAGCCCAAAGGCCCGCTGACTGGTCAGCGCGGCCGGCGTTGACGGAGCGTCTGCCCGCTCCACAGTTCAAGACTGTGAATGCCTCAGTGCGGCTTGACTCCTGAATAACCTTCTGAGGTACCGGGAGCTTCACCCCTACATGACCCCGCACTCTGAACAGGGGTGTGGGGGGACTCTGGGGGGTACCCAGACCAGGGCTCGCTCTAGCAATAGGTTAATGTGAAGAGATCACCTCAGAGAAAGACGGAGAGAAAAACATGCCTATGTTGCATTACAGTGTTTATAAGCATACTGTTATGGCTTTAATGGACGTTACGAAATGCACAAAAGCGGGAAGTTTGGGAGTTTGCATTGTTTTTCTTGTGAAACTGCATGCATTTTACAATAACTGCAAATATCCCGGTAGACTGTATTAAAAGTCGGTCAACACGATCGGTGTCTGGCTCTAGATTGTCAAAAACAGAAAAGCTATAAGACTAGCATGGTATACAGTATTATCCAAATCGGTAGCCATGTACTATCATATCTCAGGATTAGATTCAGCTACTAGCTGCAGCTGTGTTTAGGCAGACTGTTCAAAAACAGCTTTCTCCCTTTCTGTCGTGAAAGTAACATTTTACTGGGAAAATATTGCAACACCGTGTCATTGCAGGAGACAATTTCGTCATGGTCGTGTTGGAGCTTGATATCGACCAATGTTGTCATTGGGAGAAGCCCCGTGGTGTCGCCCCCTCCCTCCTCGCTGGGCCCCCGCGTAGAGCCGCCTTGCGGAGCTCAGTCGAGCTGGGAGAGGAATGCGCTGGGATGCGGAGCAGCACCGACTGCAGGAAATCGACGCAACAACTCGCACAGTATGGACAGTAATGATCCGTATTTACACCTCAGTAAGTACGCCTCGGCTAGTTAAGTGTGACCGTTGTTATCCCCGCGGACCTCTTGCGTTTTATTTTGACTTTGAGAAGAATGCGTCTGTTTCATGGCGTCTTTCCTTCATTCTGCGAGCTGTCCGCGGAGTTTAACCACCTACTCCTGCTTATGAATGCCGATGTTATGCTATTCACTTTGGTACTACTCGTTTTGCAACTGTCAGTTGAAGCGAAAGCTGCGGCTAATGCAAAAGTCGGGTGATCATGGTCGTGCTGGTTAAGCAAGGTCAGAGGTTGGCACTTTAATTGCTCTCATGTAATTTATGGTTCTTGTCGCGCGTCTGTTGCTAAATTGAGACAGAAACACAATTTATTGGTCTAGGATGGTCGTCAGATCTAAAAGAAAATGCGTGTAACATCCTTGAGGAATGGCCGATTTCTTTTGATAAACAAACTTAGACAGTGTGTCAAACATGAAAGTACTACGTAGCCAAGACGCGCCCTGTTCGGCGCTGTGGCTATATTCAGCTGAATGACAGCATGATTTGAGTTTGCTGTTACAGCTGAACTCTGCTCTGACTCGGTGACTTTGCCCTTGGCTTTATTCTATTATCAGACGTTTTACAACCTTATCCCACCGGGTCAAGGAAGGGATGGCTTCTGTGTCTGCTGTGGACCTTGCAAACTCTTGAGCATACAGTACATGTTCTGTTTAAATTATGACAACCAAGTGTTAAGCATGTGTTTTGGTAAGCCAAACAGTTTTAAATTAGACTGTGTTGGAGGAGATTCTGAGTCACACACACTACATGCATCATTCATCATGTGATGCATGTTTCTTCCTCCCTGTACGATGCACTCATTGTCAAACCACAGCAGGAGAAAAATGGCATGTCTTTCTAAACCGCTGTCTTTTATGGGGGGAAATGAAAGATAATAGTGTGGCATTACAGGGTAACAAATAAAACCAGTCTTTGAAGACAGAATTGTGCAGCCCCTTCATGTTATCACAGATATCTCGGCACCATTTGGAACGGCTGAAAATAGTTTCCATAATGATTGTGTCTCCCAGGGGAATGAGGGATACATCTGGGCGGGAGAGCGTGCAGAGGGAAGCCCACATTGTACAGAAGAGCAATCCCCCTGGGCCACACAGCATTACTTGTCTGTCTTTAAAGACTGATCAGGCAGTAGTGGCATCCCAAGCTTTGTGCAGAGTAGGACAACATCAGACCTTTTATCAACTGTCATATATATTGGCCAGTCATGTTTTCCACCAAGGTTTTTTTCTGGCTGCAGCTGTATAAAAACTGTATAAAAATATATGAGTGAAATGTAATATCATTTTTGGCATTATTTACTTAAACACATAATTGCTAACTTTGGCTGAGTGATTGTCACATTTAAATTCCCAGTGTACCCTTATTTTGTCAGTCTTGGTTTCTGTGGCAAGTTCATTGTGCCATCATGGTCCTACAGCGATGCATGCAGATTTTCCATCCCTCAAAGGATAGCAGTTTTTGGCATGATAACAGTCAGCAGTAAAGAAAATATGAGCTATGAACACACCAGTTCTAAAAGTGGTGGTCATAAACCACCATCATTTGAAGCTCAGATGAGGCCAGGTCTCATGTTGTAGCACACTGACATTATAAAAGTTTGTACTAAAGCCACTGAGCTGTTTCTGAGTGTGAGCCACACCCACTAACAATCGTTCCAAGTCTTGTTTTGTCTGTGTTCAGCACATGTATGAAAAGCGGGGCAGAAACTATTTTATAACTGGGAGATGTGGGGTCAAGGTGAACCAATGTGAAACCAAAAACCAGTCAGGTGATGATGTGCATACTGTTTCGTGATCCACTAAGCTTTTCCCAGACATGTTGTGTTTCAGCAGGTTTGATGAAGGCCTACTTCTGGCATTAAGTAGAATCAGCATTTTTCTCTCTCAACACTTCAGCATTTTTTATTTCTGTCAGTGGAAGTGATTCTAGACACGCTGATGAGAACCCACTCACTACTTTTGGCAGCGAGAGCTTATTTAACTTGAGGATCAGGGAAGTTGTGGCAGAAAAGAGAAAGGGGTGGGAGAATGAAGGAAGCAGAATAAAAGGGAAGTGTAGGGTAGAAGGGGTCGGGGGTGGAGGAATAGGTCACCCTGGCTGATGTGAACTCTCAGCACTTGCCAGGGGTCAATGATTCACCTTGCAGTATACTCCATACACACGCACACGCACACACACACACACACACACACACACACACACACACACACACATCGAGGCAGCTGGACACCCATTCATGCCTAAATTTCCACTTCTGCAAACACTTCCTGTATGCATAGCTTATAATACATAAAATGTGGTGATATCATCTGAGTTAAAGAATGTGGGTGGCACTGTTTCACTGTGAAGTCCCGGCAGTATTAAACCTGCTCTCTAAGCACGATCCCTGCACAGCACTTTCCACGCCTACTTGTGTAGAGTTAAATAAACCATACAGGTAGAAAGGGTGTGGCTTACCGTAGCTATTTGCTCAAGGATTCTATATCTTGAGACCTGCAATGTCTCAGAGCTGTCACATGAGTTTATTCTTGGGCATTTTTGATTGAGCTTGTGCAAGTTTGCCTGTCTTGATTGTGTGTGAGTAGTGCTAATTGTGAGAACAGGAAGAAGGAAAAGAGGGGGCATAAGGAGGCCATTCTCTGCTCTAATTGCCAGTAATTAGTCATTAGTGAAGAAGGTCAAAGGCTTGATTTAATTCCAGCCTTAATCAAGCAGAGAACCTTCAAAGCCCACAGGCAGCAGCAGTGTTTGGTTAGGAGATGTATTAAGCTATTTCTTTGCTAATGATGGAATAACAACACCGACGGTGGTGCAGTGGGTAGAGCAGTAGTCTCCCAACCGGAAAGTTGAAGGTTTGAATCTCGGTGCCTGCAGTCCACATGTTGAAGTGTCCTAGGGCAAGACACTGAAGCCCCCGAAGTTGCACGTGATGGCGGCGCGTAAGCATGCCGCAGCCCGGGGCCCTGTGCTCCAAGCAAAATTTCGTTGTACGTGTTACAATAAAATAAAGCTTCTTCTATATGTCACACATGGATGCACTCTAATTCTCATTTTTTATGCACTGACCAGGTCAGTCAATTCTGCAGTCATAAGACATAAGAGCTAAAGGCATGCTACATCAAATGTGGAATAAATGACCATGTCCTGCTAACATCATATCTGAATGCAAACATTGTAAATGCTACAAGTTGCACCTACACACACCTGGTGCAATAGCTGTTGATGTGTCTGCATAGCCAAAATTATAACCATTCATTACTGCTGCACATGTGTAAGGGTGAAATACTGTTGGTTGCTCATTAGGAATAAAGGATTATAAGCTATTATTTCTGTGTAGCTTCTTCCGGTTCTTTCAAACCAGGAACTCTCAATGAGACGAAAGAGACTGCTTTAGATTTTATAAAAAAATAACCGTGCTGGTTTATTCAGAGGATCACAGGTAAAATTCACAGGACACGTCCAGAGCTCTCTCACCCCTCTACCTGCGCGCAGGCAGCAGAAAGCTGAGCCAGTCTGGACCCAACAACCTATATAATATTAATCATTTTTGGGCTAGCCCATGCTACAAGGGGCGTCAAACCGTGACGCCACCCGATAAGCAAGCTTTGCAGCTGCTCTATCATTTAGCCAAAACATGAGGAAAAGTCAAGGTGCGTGACTGTTGTTTTCGTGGTGTGTATCTAAAACAATTGGACATAACCTTACACAGTAAGACAAATATTAAGACTAGCATTACAGTTGACACTAACAGCAGTTTTCCTGTAACCTTGAAGTGCCTGCAGTCTGCACTAAACATTCATAGACAACAAATCTCTGAATATCTATCTAACTAAAAAATAACCTAACA